CACCTTGAAAACAGAAGAAAAAAAAAACAGGACGCGGGTGTGAAAAGAAATATATATATATATATATATATATATATATATATATATATATATTTGGCGTGTCGGTAACACCCTTCATGGCAGCTCAGAGTCTCACTCTCACTCTCTCTCTCTCTCTCTCTCTCTCTCTCTCTGTGTGTGTGTGTGTGTGTGTGTGTGAGCAATGGCAATGACTGGCACCCCGGTTCCGGTTCGTGCTTTATAGCACCACCAAACAAACGACCGGGGGCCTCCTGAGCCCTCCTCAACGTGGCTCGTTGCCATGGCGAAACGGGTAGGCCTTTTTTTTTTCCAAAAATAAAAAAATATATATTTTCTGATTGAAAAAAAAAATAAAAAAAATGGCAGGTGCCCGCGTACACTCCGCGCACTTGTGTGCAAAAAAAACCTACCACCACCAGGCAAAAAAAAATAAAAAAGGAGTTCCCGCTCAGCGTGAACTCCGTGAACTACCCGCATTCACGTGAACGGTGGCCGGAACGGTGAACGCGGGTATGGCACTGCTAGGAACTACCTCCGCATCAAGCTTGACCGCCTGATTCGGAAGAAGTCGGGTATTAGCATAATATGCAGGATCAACGTGAAGGTTCCACTCTGTAGGGACGTACGGAGGGCAGCGATTCGGGCAGAGGTATCAAGGGTCATTCGGACCTCGATCCCACACAAGCTGCTGTGTGCAGTACTGCAGTCGAGGGTTAGGATTGTCCAGACGAAGAACAGGTCGGTAGGAGACATCCTGCATAATCACAGAGAGTATGCTAGGGAACAGGAGAACCCTTGCACTTGCGGGCATTTTTCGGCGGAGTTTCCCAGAGAGAGAGGACATGTGATGTGTAGGATCTCACAGATCCCGTGTCAGTCTTTCCTGAGAAACTCTAGGAACATCACGTTTCCAGGAGATCAGGCGTGTGTGCGTCAGAAGATTGAAAGTGGAATCAGAGAAGCAGTCTCGAAGATCAGCAAAGGTAGAGAGGTGGAAGTCCGGACTATGGGCGTATTCAGACACAAACCAACACGCACGTGTGGGATGTCACAAACGGAAATTCGCAATGTCGCTGGAGGGTCTGGTGAGAGCTCCAGTGGACAGAAATCAAGGGGAGACTCTGATTGTGTGTCCGGCAATATATGGCCACGGGGTAAGGATGACCTTTGTTCTCAGTACTAGCTATGAGGAAGAGAACAGAGAAAGTGGGCAAGTCTTAGCAGCGATGAGGGCAGAGTACGATATGAGAGGACTCACGGCGATTGGAAGATGGGTCCCAAGCGGGAGACTGGGACAGGTGTACACACGGCTGAAAGACCAGACGGAGGAGATCGCTAGCAACCTGACTCGGAAAGGAAGGTGTGACTCTCTTTTGGTACGATGCTCTGATGCTAAAGAGATGTTCACGCATCTGTCACACGGAGCGATAAGGGATGCCACTGAGTGGCTGTTTTCTCATTTCGAAGACCGAGGGTATCGACAGTTCAAGGTGGCAGTTAGAGGAAGGCTCACAGTGCTAAGCAAGACGCGGAAGAAGGAGGAAGGATATGTCACAGTAACAATACAGCACATCAGGGAGATGCTCGGTTTTCAGCTTGCAGGGTCATTCGCATCATGTCAGACTCTCACCATCAGGCAAGTAACTGGGATCCCAATGGGCAGGGCTACGAGCCCAGCCCTGGCATGTATTACTTGCGCTCACGCAGAATTCCAATTCCTGACGTCACTCGGGAAAGACAGGAGTCTGTGTCATGGCATTCGGGTGGTTGATGACATTACGCTGTTTGTCGGGTACACAGCAGGTGATGTTACAACAGTGACGAGAGCAATGGAGATTGTGCAAACCTTCGTGGACAACTACACGGAAGGTATTGTTCTGATAGAAAAAGGGGAAGAAGAGAACACGTTAGAGTTCGTGGGCACATGCATGATGGCAAGGGTAACACCAATCAACTTCCAGATCTGGCCCGCACCAAAAAACAAGCAGGCACTGCACGAAACTCGTCAACTCCATTTTCACTCCATGCAGGATTTTGGCTCATGCTCGTCGAAGCTGGTCAAGGTGAACACGCTGCCAACCATGTTCAGGAGACAGCGAATGTTGGCATCCTCCACTACGGCGGCAATACCAGCCATGTGCGCGGTGATCAGGGAGGCACTCCTCCGGGGCTATCCCCCGGAGGTTTTCCTCCAGGGTCTGGCCGGTTCGGAAAGACTGGCTACTGAGCCAGTTTTTGATGCGTTTCACGCCATGGTCCGGGAACTGTGGCGGAAGGCTGGACCAGGTAGTACTACTGGGAAGTACAGGTGAATACGGGCTGGGGGTTGGACAACACCGGAATTTTTCATTTGAGTTTTTCATTTGAATTTTTAATTTTTAATTTTTAATTTTTAATTTTCATTTTTGGCGGCGTATTGCGGAAGGATATTCTTAGAGACTGACAACAGGATTCATAGTGGAAGGATTTTGGTATTTGTGGTATATTCAGAGAAGGAGCGGGTGGGTCCGGGGATCCCCGTAGAATTCCGTATTTTCAGAATAGGAGCGGAGGGATCCGGAGATCCCCGTAGAATTCCGTAGACTCCCGTAGACGAGGTAGGGAGAGAATCACAGGGAACGACAGGTTTTAATGGTAGATTTTCGGGATGAATTGATAAGAGGTTCCGTCCCGGCACGTATGGAGCCGGAGGTAATGCGAAGTGAGGGGAACATGACAGGATATTAAAAATTTTGAAATTTCGGAAATGTATGCATGGTTTGAATTAATGACGGGTACGATTAGACGAGCGACTACTGAGCAGGACATGAAGGTATTTAGAACAGAAAAAAGCGGGGAAATGACGACGCCTCGACGAGCTGGACTCGGATTTGGAGACTGCCGTGCAAAACAACCGTATTGCTCGACCGTAGGCATGGCAGCAACGAAGGAGAGGTAGAATCGGAATCCTACGGAGCGTAAGATTGTTCTAAGTACAGGCCGGTTACTACTTATACAGGAGCAAGGCAAGGCCCTACTCCTCTGAAACTGAAGCTCCTATGAGCACCTCCTGATCAGTTGGGAGGCGAACCAACGAAACCGGTTGGGGATGTCGCCATGTTTCTGTGAGGATCTATAGCTGTATTTTTGTGCTAGGCCTCTGGCCTTGTAAGGCATGAGTGCTATTTGTATATGAGTATCTCATGTATCTCGTTGCTTTACTGGTGTCGCTCCCTGGCGTCAGATTGTTGCCGCATCTGTCTCCTCTCTTCTCCTCATATGAGGGACAGCTATGTTCACAGTATTCTCTTTTTTTTAAGTTCAATAAACCCGATCAGAAGTCAAAAGGTATGCATTCCTTCATCTGGTTGTACTTATCTATTTTCCCTCTCTATTCATTTTTCCCAGCAGTAGTCTGAAACTTGCCGAGAGCGTGCTAACCCCTTCATCCTCAGTATCATGTACTCGGTTTTTTCTGTTTTTCTTCTTTTTTTTAAGAAAAAACGGCGCCTGTGACTGCTGCACAGTTCAGAATTCGCAAAAATAAGTCCACTGCAAGATTGGGCCGTGAGCAGTTCTAAACAGCAAAAAAAACAGTGAACTGCGCTTTAGACGGCCTGCCGGTTCGATAATGGGCAAAAATGGGAGGTGGCCTGGCCTAACAGGTACCCGTACCAGGCCCTCCCGTTTTTTTTGTTTTTTATTTTTTCCCTTTTTGGCTTCTGGCGGGAAAACACTCCCACCCACCCCATTCTCTCTCTCTCTCTCTCTCTCTCTCTCTCTCTCTCTCTCTCTCTCTGTCTCTCTGTGTCTGTCTGCTGCTGGGCACACCAAAGTGCGAATGTATCTGGTCCATTGTCTGCACCAGATGCATTCGCACCTTTTTTTTTTCCCATGCTAATCTTATCTAAGTTATCTTCACTGTACTGTTCCAGTCCTCTCTCTCTCCCGCTCTCTCTCTCTCGTCGCCGCCCACTCCTGCTCCGGCTCGCGCTCTCCCGACTGCCCGCTCACCCACCTACTCCTGCTGCCTCTCTCTCTCTCTCTCTCTCTCTCTCTCTCTCTCTCTCTCTCTCGTTGCCGCCCACTCCCGCCCAGGCTCGCGCTCTCGCTGCTGCCCGCTC